CACTTCCTTTCCTGTGCCTTCTCTGTCTGTCTGGCGAGGGCACACAGCCTATAGCGAAAACCTCTCCAAAAAAAAAAAAAGTTCCCCTGACCCAGGGGGGTTTATACATGGGGAAGAGTCACTCATATCACCCCTATCAATAAGCTGATGCCTCAACGAGAAATTGGCTTTATCAAAGTCAGCCTGTTCACTTTTACCACCCCGACTCATCAGGAAAGCACAGAAAAGAATTCTATTTTCTGAAAGCCTGTAAATGTCAGTCAGTTTCAAACTTTAAATCTTCCTTACAACCCAGGAAACCAAGGCTCAGTGAAATTCATCTGTCCCTCTTAGTAAATAGCAGACACACAATTTGAACTCAATTGTGTCTGACTCCAAAGACCCTATAATGATAAAAAATAATCATGGTAAACATCTGATCAAAAAAACCTCACAGAATTCACGAAAAAGAGCCTCCGTACCTTAGGTGATAGTTTCAAAAAAGCTGACGAAACGATTGTTAGTTCCTAATAAGGTAGACATTTTTCTCTTTGCTCGCTTGAGCACTCCTCAGTGTCTTTACTTGTCTTTTCAGACAAAAGACAGAGAAAAGACATCCATTGGTCCTGGAGGCACCTGTCAGACATCCAGTGCTCTGGAGGCATCCCAGCCTGTGAGTGAAAAACCATCATGTATGCGATTCTGTGAGCCAATTGACCTGATTATTACAGGGCTCTATTTGTACTGGATCTATCATATTTTTAAGTCAGAATATTCTTATGCTTGAGGAGGATGCACAAAATTTTGATGCAGTGTAACATTGTATTAGTATCCTTCCTTCACTTGAAGCTTCAAGGACACTCTTTGGGCCTGAACTCATAGTTGTGGTTGGAAAGAATGTGAAGTATTCACATCTCGGTTTCTCCAGCTCAGCTGGGCTGGCACAAGGTCCTGCTGGAATTCCACCATCTGTTAAAGCAGCAGGAGGGACCTGATCCTCCTGCTTACAAAGTGAAAATCATTGCTGAGATTCTGAAACACATACATTTGGTAAGATCAGGTTCTAAAACATGTGAAGGCATTTGTTCTCATTTTCCACAAATGTCTCTCTTAAAAAACACGTGATGATGAGTTTCTCATTTTTAGGATAAAGTACTCATTAGTTCATGAACCCAGGCAATCTTTTTGGAAGGGCTGGAATTCTGAGAAAAGGAACTGCAGCATGTTGCTGCAATAAATTCCTTACTTTGCATACAGTTTGCTCTTAGCTAGGATTTGGAATATACTAGAGTTAGTAGCAACTGAGAATATTTCATTTCTAGTACAAATAAGTTACTAACTTTAGATACCTCCAGCCCTTGCTGCTCTGGGGACATGCTAATCTTGATACTCTGCAGTGTCGGAGTCACAGAAACCCATCTTACCCCAGTGTTTCCTTGGTTGCAGACAAATTAGGCATTTTTGTCTTTCTGATGTAACCATATTTTCTGAAACCTGCATATTACACAGTGAACAACCAGTAAGTGATTGTGGCATTGTCATACACATTCACGTCAGTTAAGTGATAATCAGCTTCCAATTTTGCCGTAACTGGATATGAATATTTGTAACATAAAGCTGCATTAGATAAAGTCCATATCTTTAAGACGGTAGTGGGGTGGAGGGAGGAGAGAAAGTTTCTTAAAAGTATAAATATTATCAGTTATTATTCCTAATGGAATTTGCTGGCTCGCAGTTTGGTTTCTAGACGATAACTTCCACTTGTAGCTTCTTCCAAGCATTGAGTAAACATATAGTGGCATCCCAGCTGTCACTTTGGCTCTGAATTATAGGCGCTTCTTGTTTGTGGGTTTACCCCTTTGCCATTTGAACTGAGACCCCTCCTCTGTCTGTACACCTACTGTGAGCCACTTCCCACCCATGTATGAAATCTGTCCTCGGAGGATGACTTGGGCTCACTTCAGCTCTAAATACAAATCTTTCCATTAAGTCCAGCTTCCATGTTTTGCACTAAGGAGAACCATGGTACAAAGAACCTTGAAGTGAAGGCTTTTGGCCACCAGCTAACTTGCCATTTCAGCGATCGTGGAATATTGTTCTTAGTTTTGGGAGAAGTGAAATGCTTCATCTTTCTGATGACGAACTTAGCAAAGCACAGTTCAAAAGAACTGCTCTCATTATTCCGGGGTACCTTGCCATCACCGCTAATCGATGCTCACAAGTCCCACTGTCGACTCTTGATCCTCAAAACAGCAGCCTCTCGCCTTTTGCTCTGCCTAAGTGTGTTCTTTTTATAGTTCTCCTGTTCCTGTAATACGTTAGCATTTACAAAGTGTTTTCACAGGCTCATTTGTGACGTGGGTATTATCACAGTTCCAGAAATAAGCAAGCATAAGGAAAGGCTGAGACTTACCTAAAGCCTTGAGGGTAGCCCTTCTGTCTCTGGCCTTAGGGGTTCATTCCTTCTCACCCCAAGGTAGCCCAGAATTGAGATGGCATTGAAATGTAAAATGTCTAAACTGCTAATATCCTCTTCTTCTTCCAGGCTGAGAACATCTCTAAGGACCTCTACATAGAAGTATATCCAGGGACCTATTCTGTTACTGTGAGCTCAAATGACTTAACCAAGAAGACCCATGTGGTTGCAGTTGATTCAGGACAAAGCGTGGACTTGGTCTTTCCTGTATGATACTGACCGTCACTGCTGTCACCTCACTTTTTTTTTTAAATAGCAAGAAGAATAAAGGCACCCTATAATTTTCTTATTGGTTACACATTACTCCTGTCTTTAGTGCTGACTGGAAGGCTGGCCTTCCTGGAAACTAGAGTCTGTCCCATTCAGTACATATCTTTAACTTGAGAGCACAGAAGTCCCCCATCCTCATTTTCCTGAAAAAATGTACTGATGCTATCTGAGCAGTTTTTTACTGCTTACTTTCTAAGTAAGATTAATTAAATAAAGGGAGTGATTTGGAAACAAAGGAAATACATTTTTATTGATATTAAGTGGTGAAACAGACGTCGCTATGTACAAGTGTAGGCTTGACAAGATGGCATTTGCCTAAAGCAGGCTGGGCGTACCCTGTAACGTCTTGGCAAGAGGCATGCTCACCTGCCCCTGGCAGGGAGGTTAGGGGCAGAGCCACCTCACTCCTATGCCCCTCGTGACAGGTGTCTTCCTGCCATTCATCTGTAGGAAAGTGTTAACGGGGTGAAGATGCAGCTGCTTATTCAGCCACCACTGTGGCCTGTACTCTAGACAGCCTTGCCAGCTAGCCTTGGTAACTCAAGTAATTATTGTCATTAGTCTTTACATCCTAGAAGAGAAAAAAAGAATCTTGAATCTTATGCTGACTGTAATTTTAAGGCTCAAACATCACTGATTTGGGGGCCAGCAGGTGGCATGGTGGTTAAGGTGTTGGACTCCCATGTGACTGGGCAAGGTTCAAGTCCCTGACCTGGCACCTTGCTTTTACACTTTACCTTTCTCTCTCTCTCTCTCCACCTCCCTCTGGTCAAATTAAAAAATGATAAGAAATGGAACTAAATAATTCTTTTAAAAAAAAATTCACTGATTTTTTAAAAAATCATTAATGTACTCCAAACTTCCTTAAAGTTACCACACCAACAATATTTTTGCATAGCTTAGTTGTCTGGTGACTCATCTTATTTTGAACATTTTCCTCAGGAAAAAAAAAATGCTAGTATCCTGCATGATGAAAACAAAGCTTGTGTTTTAATTTACAAGACGGTATGTGCACTTGCCAGAGGCAGAAGGAGAACATGAAAGCACTCCCCCATAAAGTATGGTCATGCCACCATCACTTCTCCCTTTATTGCTCCTGTCTGGATTTTGGGTATGAACACAAATGTGCCTAGCATATTTTTCAAGCCACCACGGCTAAGATTCAAACTGTATGGGGTCCAGTTCCCTTAACCACCAGGCCACGGACCAACCCAAAACCAAAGTTTTAAGGAGTGTATATTAGCATCCCTAGTGAGAAACAAACTCCCATGGGCAATGGGTCATTAAAATAAGAATCCTTGCACCTCTGAGAAGTCTGATGAACTTTGTGGGTTCTCTAAGACTTCTGAAATGATATGTAGAATTGTGGGTATGTGCATTTTTTCTGAGAAAGGGGACATGACCCCAAGTGATCTAAGCGCCGTGTTTGAGAGCTTAAGCGCCTTACCAGCTGTTCTGCTCTACCTGGTACTCAGGGCTTTTAGCCTAAGGGCAATGCTTGTCCGTCTGATGTCTCACCGTACCCCGAGACTTGGTTTTCAGGGTTCCGCTCCCTCTGGCAGGGTCTGTGGTAGCGTCATGTTGGTGGCTTTCGTGGTCAGCTGCTTGGTAGTCCGTACTATGGTTTGTGCTCTCTCCTGTTTGCCATCCTTCTCTTTGCGGATGTTCCAGGGCCTTGTTCCTAAACCCAAAAGCCAGTTAATGCGGAATATGCCACTGCTATGATGGGTTTTGTCTTGAAGACAAGTAGGAGTCTATCAAGGCTCACTGAGTCTCTGTTTCGAAGGAGAAATTAAGGTTGTTAATCATTTCTGACCGTTAAGCTTTTGGGAAAGGTCATTAGATTGGATTACCAGATTCAGCACTGGGGGACTTTACCAGGCCTGTTTTCAAACAGGCAAGAGGGCAGCAATGGTAACCAGCTGCCACCTGTTGAACGAGCTTCAGCTGATCACAAGAGAGAATAATATGCTGATGGAAAAACACATTTTTAAAACTTGAGGCAAAACAAAAATAAGGGAGATATGACTTTCTGAGGAATAGGAGAATCTAAAAAGGGAGGGGTTTTGTTGTTTTTAATTTGCCAGAGGGTGCATGTGCTTTTAAGAAAGAGGGAAAGTGAGAAAGCAACCCCCTGTGGGGGATGATCATGCCATAATCACTTCTCCATTTCTTTCAGGATTTTAGGCATGTATGCAAGCATGCATGCTCACATGCCCAGCAAATTTTTCACGCCACCAGTTCCAGGACTCGAACCATGCAGTCAGCCATGGGGGATCCAGCCACCTTAACCACCACAACATGGGCTGACTCTAAATTTTCTTTTAAATTACAGATTGAATCCTGTGTTGCAGTTATAAGTAAGGGAGAGAGAGCGTAAAGACTCTGGCCGTGAACAGCTTGGCCTGTAGTGTAATGGAGAGTAACAAAGTATGGCGGGCAGAAGGATCCTGGCAAGAGGTGTCATGAGGGGCAGAGCTCAAGACCGTTAAGTATGAATACTTACCAGAATTGCTATTAAGTGCTCTCTGATCAAGCACTGATACCAAATTCTGATTAAATACCAAGCATATTTAGGACAAGCAAAGCAACACATTGCCTTAAAAGGATATAAAATCTAGAGGAGAGAAAGCTCTGGTGTTTGCCATTGTTTCCACCCCTGGCCCATACATGGTTCAAGTGTCTCTTTGCCAGTTAGCTGGGGCAGGCGTTACTGCATCGGTGACAGAGGCTGGGGGCGGCCCCTTTCTCCACACTCCATCTCAGGCATGCTTGGCGTAGATTTGGGAACATGCCAATGATGCTCTTGGGTCAGCCGCGGGAATTAACCTTTCCTGGAGCTTATCAACAGACCCGGTACCAAAAGGAAAGCCAGGCTCAGTACTTGAAGATTCACTCTCTCTCTCGGGCAAAAGCTCACTATGTCGTTACCCTCTTTCCTCAGCCTTCCGAGTTGCTGAGACTGCAGGCACATGCCACTGTACCTGGCTTAAAAGCGTCCAACAGAAATTGACCCTGGGCCTCCCGTGTGCACTCAGTCTGCCTAGCAGCGATATCAACCAGCAATCGCTACAACTGTGGCCCTGTGTTTCTCTTCCCTATAGCCAATCGTCAGTTTGTTTCAGGAAGAAAAGAACTTTGGAGTGGGGTATGTTTAGCTATGGTGACTGACATGGAGCGAGGCTGAACGGAGGGCTGACTAGCTCTGGCGGTGGAGAAGAGAAGTGTACACGCAGGGTCAGGAACTGGTCTAGAGCTTGCTGTGGAGCAAGCTAGGCCACTGCCACACATGGCTGGTACTGGGGCATGTCACCACCGTGGCCCCTCTGCTACCCCACTGTCATTCCTCTTCCCTGGCGCAGAGCTGGAGCTGTTGCTCCCCACAGACCCCTCTCAACCTGTGCTGAAGCACAAGACGGGAAGCAATGGAGAACTTAGCGCAAAAACTCCAGATTTTGGTACCTTTTTCTTTATGTCGTCACTTGTTGGGAGGGCACATCTCACAAAGAGATTACAAGATCAGAGTGACCATTTCACAGAAGCTCCGGCCACCCACTAATGTGCATGTGTGTGTGTGCACGCAAACACACACACACACACACAATCTCTTTGTTACAGTTTCTTGGAGAAGTCCACTGACCAAAGCAGAATTCTTGTCTCTTGTTTCCCTACCACAGATGAGGGAAGATCCCACACCTTGAAAGCCAGGGAAGCTTATATAAAATAGAACCACAGCACCCTATATTCATCTTCACCCATCGAAAAACCCAAGGGTCCCAAGGAGACACCCAAGGAAGTTTTTCACCTACAGAGAATTCCTCAACATTCTCAAACTGAAGAGCAATAAAGCCCTTAACCCTGGGCGAGACTGACATCCTCACAGGCTAAAGAGTTCTGGCTGAGCAGCTGTCCTAGAAATGGGTCAGTGGCTTCAAGACCCACAGGGGGCCTGGCGTGGACAGTGCTTGAAACTTGGTAAGCCCCTATCAGTGGCCTTCCTTAACCCTCTCATCATCCTCACACCAGGCAGCCTTCCACTGAACATTGTCAGTGACCTAAGGGGTGTAAGAATCTAATCTAGGGGCCAGCAGGTGGTATAGTGGTTAAGGTGCTGGACTTCAAAGTAGCAGACTGTGGTTTGAGTCCCAGATCTGGCAACTTGAAACATGCCAGGTACATGTGCATTTGTGCCCAAAATCTCAGGAGGAGAATAGAAGAGAAGGGGTTGTTGGGTGGCCATCCCCCACAGGGGGTGACGTCTCACATTCCCTCTTACTGTCTCTGTCTCCCCAACGAGTGCACATACCCTATAACAAATATATACTCTAAGGCCGAGCTTACCCAGGTCACCTCCTTCACACAGCTCTGCCAGCTGACTGAGCTCCTGCTCTTTCTGGCCCCCCTTGGGAATGCAGGCAGGCTGGACCTGAGTCCGATCACTGAAAGGCTATCACTGAAAGGCTGCTCCCTGAGCCTATGGGGGCGTGCCACACATTTCTCAGCTCGAGGCTGCAGGCTGCCAACAACAGTTCAACACGGCTTGCCCTCGTAGTTGTAAAAATGAGCAGCTTGATGCAGTGTGTGGTCCTTCCCACTCTGACTTACTAAGGGGCCCATCTGGAAAGTGGGGCTTGCTAACCCGAATTAAAGGACCAGTTTCTGGCTGCTCAGGGTATCCATTCTAATCAATACCTGGAGGTATTTGGACTGTTCATTTAGAGAAAAATCAAAGCCTTGAAGAAAAAAAGGGGAGCAAAAATGAACAGTGGCAGGGCACATTCAGTAGAGGTTAGAGAAGAAATAGGAAGACAGGTATTAAATACGAATGTAAACTTTAGCACAGAAATAGCCCATTCTTCCCCATCCTGTGGGACTTTATAACCTAAATCAAAAGCTATAATTTCCGTTATCAGTCTCCCATTCCACATGACCAGGTTCCCAAGTATTCCTTCCAGTCCCAACAGAGAGGACATGAGCGTCAGATTGCTGAGAGACAGGGGAAAGGGAGGAACAGGGCCTCAGCCCCACGGTGGAAGACAAACCCACGCCTTAAGACTACCTGGCTTTCCAGGATGTGGCTCAGGCCCGTTCCTCCGCCAGTACCTCCACTCGGGTCGGCAGAAGCCACTCTGCCTTGGAGACTCTTCAGGAAGGATGGGGTCCGTGTTGACCATGCTGTCCACCATCAGTCTCTGTGGAAGGCCCATTTCCAGTTCATTCTCCAAGTCATCTTCAGAAGAGGAGGAGGAGGAAGAGGAAAAGGAGATGGCCACTGGAGCACGCACTGCTGCTTTCTCCTCTTTAGGACCTTCCAGTGGCAAGAGCCACGCTGTGGACTTCAGCTCTGACTCTGGAAGTTCTCTGGCTGTGACCTCTGAGGTCCAGGTTAGAGGCCACCAGGTCGAGCCAGCCCAGGGACAGCAGCAGAGGCAGCCCTGGCACAGGAACTGGCTGCAGGAATAGGGGTAACAGGGAGGGCCTAGGAACGGGGTGCCCAGAGGAAGCCCAGTGGTGACGCAGCCATGGATGGTCCCCAGCAGAGGGCAGTAGGGGCCACAGAGGAAAGGATCAGGGTGCTCTCTGGTGGAAGGCTTATGCAGCCTCTCCACAGCCCTCTTCCAGATGGGTGGGGGCACCCACTGGGCCCCAGTTCTAGGCACTCTCCCTGTCTTGCCATTCCAGAAGTGGACAGTGATTTCTTCTTCCTCTGATGCTACGAAACAGAAAAGGACAGCTTTCGTTACTATTTTCGCTCTTTATCATGGGGTATGGTTCTCCTGTCCCAGGGGCAAAGGCCATTCCCTGCCTGGCCCCCCACACTCTGTCTCTCCAGAGAGGCTGCTGGGAATATGCCCTCAATGCGCCAGATTTCCCACGCCTTGCCAGAGGGCTTGCCTGAACTCCTCTACCTCCTGAACTACATGGTGGCCTGGAGGGGCCTTGTTTCCTGTCAAAAACAAGAGGCATCCTCAGTAGATGCCTCTTCTGCTATTCTCTCCATCTCAGTGGGGCTGACGGGCCCTGCAGAAGAGGACTATCCAGTCCTGGATGGTGAAGACAGAGGTGAGCCAGGATTATCCCACCACACACGGTTCAGCTAACACAGACATGGTTGTTTTAGGCTATGTTTCCCAATAAAAAGATATTTTATAATCCAAAAGCTGTGATGTATGCATTTGTTGCTACCTCTGGATTAAGCAACAAGTTTGGGGGTAGAGATTAATATTTTTAAGAAGAATAATTTTCTTTAAGAATTATTTACTTGGAACCAGCAGATGACATAATGGCTACATTGCTGGACTCCCATGCAGTTGACTATGGTTCAAGTCCCGGACCTGGTGACTTAAACTCACACCGGGCACGTGTGCCTGTGTGCCCAAGATCCCAAGAGGAGAATGGAGGAAAAGGAATTGTGGCGTGGCCATCCCCCTTGGGGGGTGAGTTCTCGCTTTCTGTCTCTCCCTGTCTTTCTGGCAAGCACACATGCCCTATAGCAAAAACCTCTCCAAAAAAAATTTGTTTGAAATAAAAAATAATTATTTACTTAATTTTGTTTATTCATTCATTTATTTTAATTTTACCAGAGAGAGAAAGAGGGAAAGTCAGAAGGCAAGCCACCAGGTCTGGGACTTGAACCGTAGTTGGCCATATGGAAGTGTCCATTGCCTTAAACACCATGCCATCTGCTGATCCCCATATTTATTTAATTTTATTAATTATTATTATTATTCAATTTGACCAGAGAGAGACCGAGAAAACCACCAGGTCTGGGACTTGAATTGTGGTCAGCCATGTCAAGGTTGAGGGTCATTCAACCACCATACCACCTGGCGGCCCTGAAATTTGTTTTTTAATGCCCGCAAGACCCCTGAGCTGTAGAACCCACCCTTGCTCTCTCCTCTGACCTGAACCCCAGCCTGGCTCCTTTGGGAAGCCTGATGGGCCCAAGCAGCTGCCCTTACCTCTCTGGGTGCCTGCCATCTCCAAGCCCAAGAGAACGGTGCCAGGGCCATAGCGCTGTCGATCTGGCTCCCAGGGTGCCAGCACCTTGTCTCCGGGTCGCAGTGAGTATTCCATGGACGATGAGAGCTGAATGACATCCTCTTTTAAAACCACACTCTGCCGCTGAGATGGCAGCTTTGAGCCTGCATCGAGGGGAGCCTCAAATTCCACAAGCAGGGTCCCCTGCCTCTCCAGCTGTGGGTAAGAGACACTGAGAATAGGCCTGGCATTAAAAGTACAGCAGAGAGCACCCGACTACCCTGGGATGCCCAGAACCAGGCCCAGGGTCAGCCTTACAAACCCCAAGGGCCATCTAAATAAAGAAGAGATGTGGGAACCAGTGGATGGCGTAATGGTTGTCGCTGTACTCTGACATAATCGACCATTGTTCAAGTCCTGGACCCAGCGGCTTAAAACTCGTGCTGGGCACGTGGGCGTGCGTACTGAAAATCCCAAGAGGAGAATGGAGGAGAAGGGACTGTAGCCTGGCCATCCCCCCTGGGGGGCAATTCCTCGCTTTCTGTCTGTCTCTGTCTCTCCAGCAAGCACACGCTCCCTATAGCAAAAATCTCTCTTGCTGGGTGCTGTTCCTCTTCCTCCACCTCTTCTTACCTCATACAACTCTCGTTTATAATTTCTTGTCTTTTTCTTACCATTTTCTTTTCCTTTTACCTCCTATCAGATTTGGGCCTGCAATTCGGAGGAGTTGCCTGGGCCCTCTGGATATTTCCCAGTGTTGTTCCTGTGTCCGAGACCAAGCTGGGATGACTGATTGGTCATGCATGAGGCCTTCGTGGGTGAGGGGTGATCGTGGCTGTCGGGCAGCCCTCCATGCTGCTGGTCCCCTGGTGTGATTTTTAAGCTATCAAGTCCTGGACTTGAACTGTGTGGCTGGCCATGTGGGATCCAGCTGCCTTAACTACCATATCACCTACTGGCCCAAAAAGTGACTTTTGATTGGAAATTCTATAATTCATACTTTTTCATAAATCACAGTAGTCTTCCCTCTGACTCTGGAGAAAAAAAAAATCTCAAAGAAGTGGGCACTGCAGCGCTGCAAAGCTCAGGCGCGGCTCCTACCCTGGTGCGAACATGCTCTGTGTTTAGGAGCACATGAACGTCCATGTGGGGAAGTGCACTGTTCCTCTTTCCTTCAGACTAGTGCCACAAATCAACACAGAGAACTTGCCCAAACAAAGTACTTCTTTTTTAATTGCCACAGTCTACATGTGCTCATGAGAGAGACAGAGAAGAAGAGAAAGAGAGAGAAAGCATTCCCCAATGGGACACGGTCACACCACAATCCCTTCTCTGTTTTGTTTTTGTTTTTGGTTTTGTTTTTTTAATTTTATCTACTATTGTTATTATATTTTTTTCTTTTGAGAGGTTTTTGCTATAGGGCACGTGTGCTCGCCAGAAAGACAGAGAGACAGAAAGCGAAAAATCACCCCCTTGAGGGGTTGGCCATGTCGCAATCCCTTCTCCTCCATTCTCCTCTCAGGATCTTGGGCACACATGCACACATGCACACATGCCCGGTGTGAGTTTAAGCCACTGGGTCTGGGACTCAAACCGTGGTCGACTACATGTGAGTCCAGCGACATAGCCATTACACCAACTGCTGGTCCCTTTTTTAAAATTTTCTACAGGGCATGTGTGCTCACCAAAGAGAGAGGGAGAAAAAGTGAGAAGCAAGCTACCAAGTTCAGGACTCAAACCACGGTCAGTCATGTGGGAGTCCAATGCCCCAATCACCATGCCATCTGCTAGCCCCTTCCTTCTGCATTTCTACATCCTGTTGGAATTGGGGGCACACATGCACACATATACTTGGTGTGTTTTTCAAGCCACCAGGGCCAGAACTCAAACCATGGTTGGTCATGTGGGACCCAGCTTCCTTAACCACTAGCCATGGAGCTGGTCTCAAAATATTACACTTTTTTTTTTTTTTTGAGAGGTTTTTGCTATAGGGTACATGCACTTGCCATAAAGACAGAGAGAAACAGAGAGACAAAAAGCGAAAAATCTCCACCCATCCCAAGGGGGACGGTCACGCCACAATCACTTCTCCTCCATTCTCCTCTCAGGATCTTGGCACACATGCACACGTGCCCAGCATGAGTTTAAGCCACTGGGTCTGGGACTCAAACCAGTCAACTACATGGGATTCAAGCGACATAGCCATTACACCAACTGTTGGTCCCAAAGTATTATATTTTAATGCACATTTTCTTCACTGTTATTGGGTGGCATTGTACCCCACCCCCCTGCACCAGCTAAATTCATATGTTGAAGTCCTCATCCCCAATACCTCAGAATGTGACCTTATTTGAGAATGGGGTTGTTGAAGATTTAATTAGTTAAGATGAATTCATCATGAGTATGGTGGGCCCCCAATCCAGTATGACTGCTGTGCTTATGAAAAAGAGAAATTTAGACAGACATACTCTCAGGAAAAAGTCACATAAAGTTGAAGGCAGAGATCAGGGTGATGCTTTCACAGGCCAGGGAATACCAAAGGTTGCCAGCTAACCGTTACACGCGAGAAGAGGGATATGGAGCAGGTTCTTCTTTACTTCCCTAAGAACCAACCCTGCTAATATCTGAACTTCAAGCTTCTGGAAATGTGAGACAATAAATTCCTCAGTTTGCAGCATTTTGTTACACAACACTAGCAAATGAATATACTCACTGATAGTATATGTTCACTTCTACAACCTAGCCATAGAAGATGTGTGTTTATTCAGGAAACCAAATTGCTGCATATACACAGCTAAGGCCCAGCAGATAGGAGAGGGTCACCCAGAGGGCCATGCCAAGGACATGCTGGGAATCAGGGACTTGCCTCAGGAGCGGCCTTTATTTGAGCCCGGTAATAAAAACCATCTGGTTCCCTTCTTGCCAGGACCCACGTACTGGTAGCATCTCCAACTCTTCCTAGCCAACCAGGCTGCTGCCATGCTGAGTGAGCAATGTGGAGACCTGGATAAGAGGCACACCTGGAAAAAGACAAACAGGATTAGGGGGTAGAGAGCACCAAGCCCTAAAAACATCCAGAAATGCATCCTACAGTTACATCAGACGAACACCTTAGCGTGTGACATACAGGGTATGTAGAACAGAAACCCAAGAGGAAAAGTGGCTATCTATGATGCTGGTAAGATACATTAACTTTCAGGAGGGACAGAAGGAGACCAGGGTGAAGAGAGCCATCATTTGTATTATAGACTGGGAATTCTTTCAGGGTAACCGAAATTGCATTAGCCTTGACACAGTCAGGTTAATTCATGTTTATTCTGAGACTAGACAACATATCAGGACAGAGTGCTGGTAAGGTGAATCGTAAGGTGGTGTGGAGGATTCCAGAAGGAGGCGTGGAAGCCTGGATGGTAATGCCAAAGGAGCCAAATTATAAGGCTGCTTGGCACCATGGAGTCAGAAAAGATGAAGTGTCGAGCAAAGCAGCACCGAGGATTTGACTAAAGGGCTGTGGGAAAGAAAAAGTAAAAGCAGGAGCCAGCAGGTGGCATAGTGGTTAAAGGCACTGGACTCCCACATGGCTGACCGTGGTTCAAGTCTCAGACCTGGTGATTTGCTTCCTCACTTTCTGTCTCTCTGCTCAAACTAGAAAATATAATAAATAGAGTTAAATAAAATAATTAAAAAAAAAAAAAAAAAGGAAAAGCAAGTTCTGGGAAGTGTTGTGGGCAGGGCCAGCTCCCCCAGGGAGGCATTGTGTCAGAATTGTGGTGTCTGAAGAAGTTGTTTACTTTGTAGGCAGGGCTGAATACCACAATGCTCAGCTCTGGCCCTGAGCAGAATGGCCAAGCTGGCATGTCCCTGTCCTGAACAGGCTGAATTGAATGACACAGACATGAGTCCCCAGAACATGTACACTTTGTGTGTATAAGCTGGGGCCTCTTTGCCTCTGGTATTTACACTTCAGACAGCTGACTAAGGAAAGTGCTCAGGAAAACCTAGGACAACTGAGGGATACTGAGGGATCTGAGGAGGGACCCAGAGACCCTGTTTAGCTGCTGGTTGTAGAAACTCTAATTCTCCTGGGGTGCTGGAGTAAGCCTCAGAGTTGATGGGGAAAAGACCCAGACATTTTGAAACTGGTCACCCCGACTGCCTTCTCTCACACAGTCCATCTCCGTGTGACATCCATGAGTCTGCTGCCAGGTGGGACAAAAGCCAGGTCAGCCCTGGAGATCAGCGGGAGCACAACTTGGCAGGAGTAATGTACTCATGCTACACAGACAGGCAGAACAGTAAAGAGCCCTTTCAGCCTTGCTGAGAAGCAAATTCTCTCCCCCATGGTATGTCACCTAGAGCCAGGAACAAAGGAAAAGGAAAGGGGCACCCCACTGCTCCAGGGGGCAGACATGTACCTTGGGAAGAGGTTGTGCCTGGTGTACCGGGGTGCTTGGAGGGCAAAGGGGCAGGTGAAGGAGAGGTCCCAGGGTGGCACAGCAGGGTCGCAGCCAGGGGCCTTCAGGGCTGTGGCCACACTGCAGTATTTGGGCCTGGCAGAGGAGTCCATGACCTTTGGAGAAAACACCCAAGAACAAGCACACCATTACCTGAGCTGCTGCCATGGCCCAGCAGAGGATGCCCAGGTAGGCAGGGCTGGGCTTCATGGTCAGCTGCCTCCTGGGGACAGCTGCGGCCACACGCGAGGTCCCATTCACACCCACAGACCTTGGTTTCCTCTCTGAATCACCCGCCTCAGGAACCTCAGTTCAAGAAATGGGAGAGGTGGAAAGCAATGGCCCTGATTTTAGAGAAATAGCTTCAAACGCTCCAAACCTGGCAGCTGCTGCTCACTTCACCTCTGGGCCTCAGATGCCGCTCGCTCCCCAGTACATAGGAAGCACTAGGCCTGTAAGTAGCTCAGCCTGTGCAAGTTTTTCTCCTCCTTTCTCTTTCCCAACTGCAGGGTCTCCGGGGGTGTGTCAGGGGGTAAATCCATTCCTCCCTTCACAAATCTTAACCCTGATGACAAAGTGATCCCTAATCCAAGACACAGACTCCTCTCCTAACTCTGCTGCCACCAGACTGAGGCTGCTCCCAGGAAGAGAGGAGATCTCACACCAACGACTCTTCAGACCTGTTCAGAGGTGGCAGCTGCCAAGACCAAATTCTGCTCCCCCTAGACCACCAGAGCCCTGTTTAGGGTCTGCTCCACCCAAATCTACAGGTCTAACCCCACAGGGACTTACCCACAGGGACTTACCCAAACTCCTGGCCTCCACCTCAACCTTGGGTCCTTCTGACAGTTGGCTCAGGGCTCAGCCCAACTGACTCCTGGTTGCCAAGCAGGTTGTCATAGATACAAGTCAGCAAGAACACTGTGGGTCAGTGAGTGCACTGAGCTTGCGCAGAGGGGTGGCAGGACCTTGGGCTGTGTGGGGTGGGGAGGTTAGAGAGAAGGAGGTATACCTCCATCTTTGTCTTGGAGGAGTGGAGATATTGGGAGGAACAGAGAAAGGCCAGTGTAGCCTCAGTTCCCAAAAGTTCAGGCTGCCTCACTGCCAGAAGATTCAGTTAGGTGGAGGCCCTCATGGATCCCAGAGGAGTCCTCTGATGGAAAAAGCTGATCTCTGTGGAGACTCTGGGCTACTGACCTGCCTCCACCCTGTGCAGGCATGGGAGTGAGGCAAGACATGGGCTGACCTACAGACTCTAAGAATTTGTCCATCATTTAAAACAAAATAACCAAAGGTGTGAGCATATTTGAAAAAACAAACTCTTCTAGAGGCAGAGATGTGGTGACCGTTTGAAGTAGGGGCAGTGGACATTGGTGACCAAAGAAACAAGTTCCGATTCTACACTTCTTCAGACATCTATAGGAGGAGGCTGGATTTGGAGACATCCGACCACCTCCGTCCCTGGACATACATATGGTGGAGGATACCAGAAAACACGCAGGGACATTTGTGGGTATCTCTCCTACACCCATTTCTTCCTCCCAGTGGTTTCTATTTCTGATTGAGGACCCAGGTGGAAGGAGGGGCTGACTGTATCCCAAGTTCCAGGGATGGACCACGTGTCAATCAGTATATCCATCCCCCTGCCACAGGGATTGGCTTGTTATGGACAGGTTTCTGCACCTCTCCAATCAGAATGAATCTTGAGACTTTTGTTGTGATTCTTGGGGTGCAGATTTTCCCTTTCCTCCTACACATAAGAGAACATATAGTCCTAAGAGCATCCAATAGCTTTTTGGGACACTGAAGCTATTCCCAGAGGAAGTCAGAGAAGACACACCTAAAGAAAACAGGTCCCTAGTGACAGTGTTGAGTTCTACTTGAAGGTAGCCCTATTGGTAGATGCATTAGTTATGTGAGCCAATAAATGCCCTGTATTGATTATGCTAATTTGGACTGGGTTTTCTTTTAACTGCCCTCACAGAACATAACTTTGCAATCAGGAGAACATTTATTACTCAAGAGCGTATACCTAAAGGCTATGATTTGGCACAGAGTTAGAGTGTAAGAAAGACCAATGAAGTCTTTGGCAGTGGGAGGATTCCTGAATAAGACAGTGGGATTTGAAAGGTGAAGAAGAAAAAGAGAATATTCTAGTTTCTGTAGGAAGCAAGAGCAAAGGAAGGAAGTGTTTGCTCAACTGTAATTTTCTTTTTAAAGGAATGGGTGTGGATAAAAATCAAGGTGTGGATATTTGGGATGAGAACAGATTGTGGGTATCCTTGGAATTCAAGCAGATAAACTGAAGCAACATGGTATTTGAAAGGAAGTCATTAGGCAGTTTGAGCAAGTGGCATGAGACGCTTTGAGAAAGAACATCAGAGTAAGCAAGGAGTCAGAGAACAGACCCAGGAGGCTGGAGAGGAGACCGATAACAATGACCCAGACACAAGGTGACAGAATTGGAACAGGAAAATAGGAACAGCCCAGATTTACTGACATACCTCATTTATGGCTCACTGCTGGCTACTAAGAATATGGGATGAGTAAGACTTGTCCTTATTTTCAAGGAGCTATGTAGACAGCAGGTAGAAACAGCAGGGAAAGGTATATATAAGATAAAGGAACATATCATGGTTGGGACAGGAAGTTGGAGAAGACTTCCATGACATGGACAGTGGGGGAAGGCCTGACTGGGCTTGGTGACACATGAGACCTGGGAGTTAAGGGAGAAGGAAAAAGCTGAAGCTGACCATGAGAGTAGAAATAGAGACATCATGAAGGCAGATACCAAGATGGGGCCAGAGGATGTTCTCCCCACGCATGCAGGAAAGGCCTAGCTGCTGGAAGTTTTCTGGCCTGGGGAACCTAGAGAACAGTGAAGTTATGGACAAAACAAGATGAGGATAATAATAAACAATGGCTATGAACACTTATTATGTGTCAGGCACTGCTAATCCTCACAATAAACACACCGGGAGTTGGAGTTTTTATTCTCATTTTGTGGGTGAAGAACTGAGACACACAAAGGAGGTATTAGAGTGAAACTTCCAACCGAAGCAGTTTGATTCTGGAGCCTACACGCTTAGCCCGATACCAAGCTACCTGCGGAAGTCTATATGTAGGAAAAGGATGAGTTTGAAGTCATTTCAAATGACAAGGTTTTGTAAACTACTTTTGCTTTAGTCTCATGACAATTTCCCATCATGATTTCTTATTAACCACGAATAAATAAAAACCACCAAATTTTGACAAATCAAGGGAGGTTCATTGTGACTGATTAGCAAGAAGCATCTTGAAGTACAAAGCAAGCATTCAGTTATCATTAATCTCATTTTACATGCTTTTTACATTTTTGAATTTTAGTTTGCTATATGGTGCATGTACACCAGAAACAGAGACAGATAGATGGTGAGTGAGAAATCACCCTCCCCCTCCCCATGGAGAATAGACATACCACAGTCCCTTCTCCGTTTTCATCTTGGGATTTGGGGCACACATGCACACACACCCAGTGTGATTTTTCAAGCCACTGGGCCCAAGACTCAAAACTATAGAGTCAGCCGTGTGGAATCCAGCCACCTTAACATCCTGGCCACCTATTGGGTCCATACTTTACATGTTTTTGTTAGGGCTTCTCACAGCTGAGACTGACCACATATGTGTCAGGGGGACAACAGAGAACTCTTGGAGTTCATGAAAGAGATCAGCAAAGAAGCTTCTCAATCTACATAAGATCATGTTTAGTACATTTGAAACTCAGTTAAGTAATATCCATCACAGGTTAGCACTGAAACTATCATCTGTCTATACAGAAATTGCATTTACAAGAAAACTATCAAATGATGCTATAAGAAATTCCAATTTTGTTAAATTGTTTCTAATTGGAAATAGTGAATCACACAATTCTAAAAATTGGGTCAGTATGGCAGCTGGTGGTGGCCATTATGGAGGAAACTTTCCCAGGATTATTCTTGGTCTCAGCCTTCTCAGGGTACAGGAGAGACTGCAGGTAGTTAATGTACTTGATTGCAGCTCTGAGGGTTTCCACCTTGCTGAGTCGTTTCTCCAAATATTCCTCTGGCAGATGATGTCGGAGCTGGGCATAGCCCTCATTGACACACTTCACCCGCTGCCTTTCTCGCTCATTTCTTTTCCGGATAAAGGCTGGCCCATAGGAGTATTCACATCTTCTGTAATTTGGATAAGGCACTGAGAAGGAGAAGGGGCAGGGTTCACCATAATTTTCCATGATCAGAGAGTCACTGGGGAAAGGCAACAATGGCAACTCTTCGGAGTAAGGGGATGGTGCCGGGGCCTCAGGGTACAGGTGGAAAGTGACCATGGGGTCCAGATAGAAGGACCTGGTCAGTGGCAAGTGGGAAGGCTCAGAGAAGACAGGAAGTTTGCCTGGTAGATTAGAGTAGCTTTGATTGTCCATCACTTCCTCTTTAACCTGGAAACATAACCAAGTTTATTAATTTGGCCAGATCGAAAGAGAGAAGATAGGATGTACTTTTTTAGAGATTTATGTTTTAAGGACTTTTTTGCTTTGATGACTAGTTTCTGAGCTCATTTAGAAAACTAGATAGTAATAAAGAGAATTTCTGATGATATTCAGAATAGTACTAAATAATATTGAATCACCTTGTGAAAAAGTCATTTCCCTTTCAATCCTTTGATTACAAAGATAAAGCCTTAGACTGATGACATTCTACACCGTTAGGATGTCTTTTTTTTTATTTTAGAGAGAGTTTTTTTCTTTTTCTTTTTTGCTATAGGGTGGGTGTGCTCACCAGAGACACAGAAACAGAGAGACAAAGTAAGAAATCACTCCCCAGGGGCGATGGCCCTTTTCCTCCATTCTCCTCTTGAGATTTTGGGTACACATGCACAAGCTCCCAGTGTGAGTTTCAAACTGCAGTCCACCATGTGGGAGCCCAGTGTCACAACCACTATACCACCTGCTGGCTCCTAGAATGCTTTCTAATCCTCCCAGATCAAAACGTTCAATAATCCATAGTAGTCTCTAGCCAGAATTTAATATTGTTATGGTTAACTTCTACTTATTTTTAAAAACTGTATAATGATATAAGTTTCCTCTTAAAACTAAATCTAGCCAAGGTCCACCACACAGTATCACATACTCAGTAGGGTGAGGCCCTATGGGAGGCCAGGGTTCCATTCCAGGCCCACCCCAAAAGCTGGGCATGGTGGTGCATGCCTGTAATCACGGATACTGGGGAGGCTGAGGCAGGAGGGTCATAACAGAGTTTTTAAAAAGGTCACTATCTTAAAAAACAATTGGTTGAGTAAAAAAATGTAAATTGATTTAAAGAAAGATAGTAAATAATAGTACAGGTGGGGCTAATAATAGTTTAGCTATCCTGATGATCCCAAAGGTGTATGCAAATAACAGAAGTTTGGGAAATACTGAAACATAATACATATTCAAATACATGCTGGAAAAATTACAAACTAGTTAATGATCATGCAACCTTACAGGAACAGCCTTTTAAAATAATACCTGATATGCCAGGTGCAAAAGTGAAAACAAAAGTAAGAACAGAATCATTTGCTCTTATTTGCTGCAAGTTTCCTTTAAATGAGAGACTCCCATAACACATTTAAAATGTGGTCAATTTATACATCTCTACTTGCACAGAAATTTAAATATATTGACTAAAGTACATCTATATTTAGTTTTTTGTTTTGTTTTGTTTTGTTTTCATCGATGAACTGTTATACCCTAACAGGTCCCACATCAACACATTCCCTATTGTGAAGAGGTCTACATATACCCATTTTAAGAAACTAACATTACTTTTTGCTTTTCATTATAATAACGTAGTCAAAAAGGATTTTACAGGGGCATTGCGGTTGAACAAGTTACCTATAGCAGGGTAGTGCAGTAGGAAGAGAACACTTTGGTTTTAGTCATGACATACCAGAATTGTATCCCTTCTTAGCTATGTTGTCCTTAGGCAAGTTTCTTAACCTTTCTGAGCTGAGTTTCCCTATGTCCAGTTGAGGTATAACTAATTCACAGAGTAGTTGTGGGGGTTAATTTTATAAAACATACCTATAATGCACCAAGAACACACATTAGTTCTTTTCCTTTCTTTTTTCACAGATAATTTTTTTTTCTTTTTCCCAATTAAAATGGAGCCTTTATTGAGCTGGCAGCTATCAAAGAAACTGGTGTGTCCAAAAACTTTGCAGCCCTCAGTGAGGGGAGAGGGTGCTTATAAAGGAAAAAAATCACAATCTTTTCCAGATTGACATGGCGATTACAAGAACAAACCCAGTGGGCTTGAAAGGGTAAGGGGTGAGGGTTTACAATGCAGAAACAGTTTACAGAAGGGAAATAAGCAGGTTAATTATTCCTAAGGGTATGTTCCATCCCTGCCTAAACACAATGAAATCTTCATGACCTTTATGGTTCACAGCAAATGGGTCTGGTGATTGTTGCTCATATCCCATGAAACATCTTAAGGTATGGAGGCTCTAGGCAGGGGTAATGGAATTTTAATTCTCTTAGGAAGAAGGACAAGGTTTTCAATGTTTAACTAGAAAACCAAGATGGATGTGCATCACAAGATGGAGGCACTCCTGCTTCATTCCCCACTGGTTTTAGGGGATTGAGTCAAATCCTTGACTCAAAGTTTTTACAGTGAGGAGTTGATATCTTTCCTACAGGACCAAAAGTTTAACCAAATTTATTTGCTGTTGAATACACTGAGTCAGGGTCTTAAGAAGACAAAGTCCAATTAAAAATCCTAGAATAATCGTAGTAACAGGTCCAGCTACTGCTGACAATAAAGTAACTAGTCAAATATTTGCTGGAACCAGCTTTTAGATTATTCTCTTGGTCGTTCCCATTGTTCAAGATGTTTCCAAAACTGGGATAAACTATCTTGAATAATCCCAGACTCATCTGCATATAAAGAACAGTTCTCTCCAAGGGCCATGCAGAGGCGTCCTTGTCTCAAGAACAAAAGGTCAAGTCTTTTCCTATTTTGCAGGATAACCTCTGCTATTGAATTGACCTGTTCCTGTAGGTGGAACACAGATTCCTCCAATGAACCTAGACCAACCTGGACAGCTCCTGGAGACGTTGGTCCCCCTGTATGAGGACTGTGGTTCCTATAGCAGCAGACCTCGCAGTACCAAGACCCACAAGTAAGGGTATGAAAATGGGAATTCGCTTCTTATGTGCCCAACTCAAGGGGGGAGATAGCATGTTTCGACATGCCTCTTCACAATAACACCGAAATACAGGGAAAAATCTGGACAGGAACACAAAACTTCACATGAGGAGTTGAGATACAACGAGACAGACCATTTGTGCAAGCCCATCAAGTAGTTAGGGCCTGATCACAGATGAACTCTTATGTGACATTCTTTTTTAAACTGCATCTTAGAGAAAACGTGGTTTATATTTCCCCTAACAATGGAGAACCAAAATACTGATATACCCAAAGCACACACCTAACATGGAAACAGAAAAAACAACTTTAAATCTAATCATGGGCTTCCATAAAAGAAGGAAATAAGTCCTCTCCATTAATTTCTCCAGAGTTTGATTTTTTCAGCATCTTTAGGAGCATCTCTGTGCTCAGCCTATTTAAAGAAAAAGTGACAAAACACACATACAACCTCCAGAACAGTACCAATTTTCTCATGTTTACGGGTGAGATTAAGATAACATTGGCACTTGTTTCTCTACCTGAGCACAGCAAAAACTCTGCAGGCTCTATGAGGTAATGGGAAGAGCAGCCTCTAAATCCACAATTCTCACACACACACAAAAAAAATCGGGGGACCTACTTTGTATAGCTTCTGAAAAGACAACTATGGAAACAGAAGGGGCAGCCAGATATATAGGGGTAAGAGGTGAGGAGTTGGGAGGGTTAAAATGAGTCATGGAGAAGAGAAACAGACTGGAAAAGGACTCAATGCCAGGAAAAGCTCTTCCAAGAAGAGGAGGGAATGAGACAAATGGGATAGATCCAATTAAAAATCAAAACAAAGGAACGGGAAATGAAAGATTTCAAATGACTGACCAAATGACCGAAAATAACTGACATAAAACAATATTCCGTGCAAGATTAAAAACTAGCCAAGATTCTGTCAAAAAGAAAGACTTGGTGAGAGAAACAAGTTAGGAAATCCCCAAGCTAGGATTTCTGGAGGGTGAGAGTTTATAAAGAACATGTATAACAGAACCTGCAAAATGATGGTAAATAGGCAAGGAGCTTGTATTGCTGCATTTCTGACAAGAACAGAGCTTCGTTTCTGCCTGTAGCTAACAAGCCAGAGTTGGTTATTTACAACAGATCACCACAAAGGAAAGCAGATGTGATCAAAGCCAATTACACAAAATAATTATTTCAGGTATGGTTTTACCCTGAAAGATCATCTAACTGTTATCTGAAATCCTGACCCAGATGAAATCTGCGTAATTTGTATATGCCATAGCTAAGTACAGCTCTCTAGGTCTTAACAAGAATTCGCTTACTTCTTGGAAAAACAGCACAGCATCTCTGGAGACGCATTGGTGGAATGCTTTTTTTGTTGCATATTTCCAATACGTTCACCAATCAATATAGTAGCATTTCATTTAGTCAAGGAAGAACAGTGAGTCATAAAACAACAGAAAATGCAGAATGAAAATGCAGCAATGAAGAGAAACAAGATAGGACCCCCTGATGGAGTATGGGCATGTTTATAGGAATATACAAGTTTTTAAAAGAAAGCAACCCAAATCGTTTAGTGCTGGGGCTCCACTGTTTCAGATATACATACTGGTACCAAATATGGCTGGTGTGAGGAAAATTTCAGGTTTAGAGCCTTCTGAGGAAAAAAAAAAAAAAAAGATGAGGCTTGAGTGATAAAATCCTGAGAGATTCTGGATGTTCTGCTGAACAGAAAAGCATATATATACACACACACACACACACACACACACACACATATATATAATCTAGCATGTAAAAGAAGAAAAAGGAAAAAGCAGAAACTGCACATACTATTGTATTATGAAACATTAGAGCTAGGAGGAAGCTTAGCAATCCTCTTCTCCAATCCCTCATATGTAGTTGTATGTTGCTAAGGCTGCAAAACTATGAGACTCCAAAAAAGTTGATAGAAACACAGATTAAAGTACAAATTTATCTCGGTGCATAACTTTTTTCGAAGTCCATGTACAGTTTTTTTTTCATAATACGCACTCTCCATAAACTTTTTGAAAACCCCTTGTAGTAACATTCAGGACCAGAACCTAGTTGTCCTAACTTCTAAACCAAAACTCTTTCCACTCCTCCAGAAGATGTACTCACCAGCAAAACCTGGATCTTTCATACTATGGGTGATGATTAGTCATTTAAGATAATGGAATGGTCAGATAGCTGAGAAAATTAATCATGTTTCAGCTGTGCCTAGGGGTTTTCTTAGAAACCATATTCTTATTCTCCCCCACGGGCTATTCTGGAGAAGGGTCTCTTACCTGTTTTGTCATCCAGATGCTGTATTTTGGGCAGGGTGAGACTTAATCTGATTTATAGGTGATCATTTAGTAACAATATGCAAAGTAGCTTACAGTTAAACAGAACTGCTCTGTTCTGGTTTCACTGCTTTTCTACATAGACATGACAACACATAATACTGATAGAAAGGTTTGGCTACAAAACTAGGCACTTGTAACAAATTCTTTTGTTTAAAGAATGGCCCTCCCCTAGAGGAGGGAATTATATTATCTTGGTTATATAATTTTATATCAAAATTATTTATGGAAAATATCTGTAAATAAAAATCTCATAATGTGCAAATAATGATCAATTCTTTTGGAAAGATAGAAATTAAGGCCAGAACTAGAAAGATCAATATAAACTTAAATCTTAAAAAAAAAAAACAAAACTATTTTGGGCCAGCGGGTAGTCTGGTGGTTAAGGCAGCTGGGTCCCCTATAGCTGAGAGCACAGTCTGAGTCCCAGACTCAATGACTTGGAAAACATGCTGGGTGCATGCACAAGCATGCAGGCCCAAAATTTCAAAAAGAGGAAGAAGTGGAGAAGGTATTGCACCCTCACCATCTCCCACAGAGGGTTCTTTCTCACCTTTTCTCTTTGTCTCTTGTAAGCACACGTGCCCTCTGACAAATTTAAAAAAATGTTTTAAGTTTTTTTATTTATTGGGGCCGGCAGGTGGCATGGTGGTTAAAGGCACTGAATTTCCACATGGCCAACTGTGGTTTGAGTCCTGGACCTGGTGGCTTGCTTTCTTGCTTTCCCTTTCACTCTCTCTCTCTTGTCAAATTAAAACATTATAGTAACAAAAAATGGAATTAAATAAATAAATAATTCTTTAAAAAATAATTATGTGTTTATTATCATCATTTTTCAATTTGACCAGAGTGAGGTAGAGAGAGAAAGAGAGAGAGAGCAAGCCACCTAGTCCGGGACCCAATCGGGTCAGCCATGTTAAGGGAGTCCAGCACCTTTATCCACACCACCTGCTGGTCCCTAAAATATTTTTTTTAAATACCCTTATTTTTCCTCTTAGACTTTATCTTTCAGAGTAGTTTCAAATTCACAGTAAAACTGAGCAGAAGATAGAGACTTCCCATATACTCTCTGTCCTCACAGATGCACAGTCAGCAGCTATGTATCTTCACTGTCAACATGCCCCACCATAGTGGTACTTTTTTTTTTTTTCTGAGAGGTTTTCACTATAGGGCGCGTGCGCTCGCCAGACAGACAGACAGAGAGAGACATAGAGACAGAAAGTGAGAAATCACCCCCCAGGGGGGATGGTCACACCGCAATCCCTTCTCCTCCATTCTCCTCTTGGGATCCTGGGCACGCATGCACACGCGCCCGGCGTGAGTTTTAAGCCACCGGGTCCGGGACGCGAACCGCGGTCGACTACGTGGGAGTTCAGTGACATAGGCATTACGCTAACTGCTGGTTCCCCAGTGGTACTTTTTTTGTTGGCAGAGGGCAAGTACACTTGTCAGAGAGAGACACAGAGAAAAAGGGAAAAAAAAAACAAAGGGATGTGGTCATGCTGCAATCGCTTCTCCTTCATTTTACCAACCTATCAGGATTTGGGGCACACACACAAATGTGCCTGGCATGTTTTTCAAGCCACTGGGGCCAGGATTTGAACTGCAGTTGGCCATATGAAGTCTGGCTCCTTTAATCACTAGTATACAGAGCCCACCTTACCTTACCTTTGTTACAATTGATGAACTTACATTAACATATCATTATTACCCAAAGTCCATAGTCACTCTTTTTTTTTTTTTTTTTTTTTTTGAGAGAGGTTTTTGCTATAGGGCACGTGCGCTCGCCAGACAGAGACAGACAGAGAGACAGAAAGCGAGAAATCACCCCCCAGGGGGGATGGCCATGCTGCAATCCCTTCTCTTCCATTCTTCTCTTGGGATCTTTCCGGCGTTAGTTTAAGCCACTGGGTCCGGGACTCGAACCGCGGTCGCATAGTCACTCTTTTTTAAAAATTATTTAACTTTATTTATTTATTTTAATTTGACTAGAGAGGGATATATAGAGAGAGAGATTGAGTGAAAAAGCAAGCTGCCAGGTCTGGGACTCGTACTGTGGTCAGTAATGTGGGAGTTCAGCACCCTTAACAACATCACCACCTGCTGGCCCCCACAGTCACTCTTGCTGTTATATATTTATATCCTATGGGTCTTAGAAAGGCATGATGACATGTGTCTACCATCACAGTATCATACAGAACAGTTTCACTACACTAAACAGAGAAGCAACCCCTAGCAACCCCTGAGCTTTCCATTGTGTTCATGATTTTGCCTTTTTCAGAATGTCCTATAGTTGGAATCATACAGTCCATGGCCTTTTCAGATTGGCTGCCTTCACTTAGCAGTATGTGTCTAGGGTTCTTCCATGTCTTGAAAGCTAATTTATTTTTAGCAGTGAATAATAGTCCATTGCCTAGATGTACAACAAATTATCCACTTATCAACTGAAGGTCATTTTGGTTGTTTCCAAGTTTTGGCTATTACAAATAAAGTTGCTACAAGTACATGTGATGGTTTTTGTGTGGATATAAGATTCATCTCACAAACAGCAGAGTGATTGCTGGACCATGTAGTAAGTTATACCCAGTTTTGTAAGAAACTGTCAAACTCTCTTCTAAAGTTGCTGTTTTGCATTCCAACTAGCAGTAAATGAGAGTTCCTGTTGCTGTGCATCCTCATAAGTATTTAGTACTGTCAGTGTTCTGGATTTTGGCCATCCTAATAGGTGTGTAGGGGTATTTCACTGTTGTTCTGATTTGCATTCCCCTTATACCATATGGTGTAGAACATCTTTTCATATGCTTATTTTCCATTTGCATATCTTCTTTGGGGAGGTGTCTGTTCAGAAACTTAGCTCATTTTTTAATGATATTTTTCTTACTGTTGAGTTGTAAGTGTTCTTTGAATATACCAAGTAACTCCCTTATCAGATAGGCACTTTGCAAATATTTTCTCCTGATCGGTGGCTTGTCCTCATTCTCCTCATGGGTGGTCTTTCACAGAAGTTTCATATTTTAATTAAGTCCCACTTATCAATTATTTCTTTCAAGGATCATGCCTTTGATGTTGCACTTAAAAAGTTGTCACCATTTAGATTTGCTCCTAGGGCCAGCCTTGCAGTGCAGCATTTCAATGCTATGAATGGAGACCTGGACCCCACCTGGTTAATCATGATTCAGTTCATTTATTTAGTTTTCTTTTTCTTATTTATTTATTCCATGAGAGAGAGAGAGATGGGGAAGAAAGGAGAAATGAGGATGGGAAAGAGGAAGGGAGGTGGGCACTACGCTGCAGTCTACCACCAATCGTACCACCCTGGATCAAGGACATGCATGCATGTACCTGGCATGTTCAGGGAGGTCCCAGGACACAAACGCAGCTCTCTCCCATATAGATCCAGTTGTGTTGTCACAGTGCCATTACCTGGCCCCTATTTCTTTCTTCCCTTTTTTTTTCTTTTTTTGTTTTTTTTAAAGATTTTTGTTATAGGGTGCGTGTGCTCACCAGACAGAGAGATAGAAAGCAAGAAATCACCCCCCAGGGGGGATGGTCACGCCGCAATCCCTTCTCCTCCATTTTCCTCTCAGGATTTTGGGCATGCACACACAAGCGCACAGCATGAGTTTGAAGCTGGTCCGAGACTCAAACTGCAGTCAGTCATGTAAAAGTCCAGTGACGTAAACATTATACCATCTGTTGGTCCTGCCCCTATTTCTTTCTTTAGAGTTTTGCAATTTTCTTCATACAGATCTTGTACATGTTTTGTTAGATTTATAAGTAGGTATTTCATTTTGGGAGTGCTAATGTAAATAATATTTCCTTTTTGATTTCAAATTCCACTTGCTACTGCTATATAGGAAAATTACTGCTATATAGGAAAACAATTGACTTAAAAAATTTTTAAGAATTATTTTACTTCATTCATTCATTTATTCATTCATTTTAATTTGACCCGAGAGGAACACAGTAAGAGAGAGAGAGAGAAAGCAAGCTGCCAGGTTCAGGACTTGAACTATAGTCAGCCATGTGGGAGTATAGCACTCTTAACCACCATATTACCTGCTGGTTCCAACAACTGACTTTTGTATATTAATTTTGTATCCTGCAACCTTACTACTTTCAACTCTTGTTTTTGGTCAGTGCTTTGGGGTTTCTACACATACAATCATGTTAACTGTATAGCTTTCTTTCTTTCTTCCCAATTTGCCTGCCAGTTATTTCCTTATCTTATTTCACTAGCTAGGACTTCCAGTAAAATGTTGGAAAGGAGTGGTAAGAGAGAATATCCTTGATATGTTTCTGATCTTAATAGGAAAGCTTTTAGTTTCTCATAATTAAGTACATTATCTGTACTAACAAAATGAACTAAATAATTTTAGATTTGTGAATGCAAAAAAAAAAAAAATCACCATTATTTTTCAGCTCCTGGAACCCTATTCTTTTAAATTTAACACAATGTAATCCTAATATATTGGGTCTTCGGAAAAGTCATGCATATTTTTCTGTTTTCCTAAGCAAGATGAGTCATGACTTTTCAGATGACCCAACAATTTTTGCCAAGAATTTCTTAGAACCAGCACTCCTTCAGGAATTTAAAATCTCTGTTTATCAAAACAATATTTGCATACTTTTTAGAGACTCAACTAAGAATTCATATTTTTTTCCCTTTGCACAGATGCACATATAATTTAGTACCAATATTTAATGATTAAATTGGCATAAAACACTAGTCTCACAACAGGACACAAAATAACTTTAAGCTCATCATACAGCAAAAAAGGAAGGAGAAAAAAAAACAAAGAGACGTAGATACACTGATAGATGGTTTAAAAATGATTTTTATTGTTACATTTCAAAGAGGACATAGAAGAAAAAAAAGCCAGTTATCCAATAACTGTTATACTTTTCAGAGAGAGGCACCCAGAACCCTAGGCCTTATTCAAAGCTGCATATACTATAGCTCAAACAGCTGCCTCTCAAAACAGCCAGAAATGCTGCCAAACATGTGTATGTCATCAATCCAAGGAGGCTTGGGTTTAAAAGACTTCTTTATTGCAAGTGTCCAAGTCCTTAGGTTTGTCCTTAAAAGATACTAGAAGATGAGAAAGACCACACACACAAGACTATGTTTAGTCATTAGAGTAAACTAGCAAAAGGCCAGTTTATTTTAGGATGCATTGCATCAGACATCATCATATATGAAAAAAAAAAATCTGCATTTTTTGAAAAGCCACCAGGCATTTCCGATCCAGTTTACCAGGAAGTATAGCCACAGGCCAACCAGATACCTAGATAATACAGTCAGTGCAAAAGTCAAACGAGTAAGTCAGTGCTTTGATGAGGATGGCTATGCTGCAAAATATAAGGGAAACTTGAAAGTAAAAGATAAGGTCTATTTACAAAAGTTTACTTAGTAAAGTGACTTGAGAAAGTTATATTAAGCATATCTCACGCATACCTCCTCAATTTCACCAAAAGCAAACAAACAAACAAACACAACCTGAAAATTATCTTGAAAATCAAGTTAAAACTGTGTGGTGAAAAAGAGCGTGCTTGTTCCAGGTAAAGGACTTCAAGATAATTTACAGGCAGACTTATTTTTATTAGTAAAAGTCATAAATAGGAAAAGGTTTATTGACTGACTGAACTGTGTGCTTTTAAAAATGTCTCCATTAATACATTTATAAGAAAAAAAAATACCAAGCATGTTTTTGCTTTCAGTTTTGAATTTTCCAGCAAGAGTTGGTAAAATCAATGGGGTATTAAGTTAAAACCCAGGAAAAAGTAGTCAATTCTTTCCAGTTGTCTGCCTTATTTTTTTTAGTCACCTTGATTTTGATTCCCAATTAGCTGAGGACAACATGTCGGTCAAAAACAGATTTTCGCTGCTCTTGAACTTGAAGCTTCCACCGCTGCTGGGCATACTCTACCTTGTTCAGCACATTGGCTCGACTACGGGAACGGGCCAGCACATCATGGGCATTTGCAAAAGGCTGGTGATCCTGAAAGTCCAGGAATGGAGAGCATTAGACATGGCACGATCAATGTAAATCACACACACAAACGGCAGCTGGCCAGCCACAGAAATAGTAGCAGGTGGAGTTCTCAAGCAACAGAGCATCTATTGGGTTACTGAAAAAGTCATGACACATTTTTGCATAGGAAAAAAACATAGAAAAATACATCACGACTTTTCTGACGATTCAATATTTGGGTAAATACTCCTAGATACTCAACTATCAGAAGCAGGATGAACACAACTACAGAAACAGGTGGTTCAGGAAACATGAGCTATAGGGGGTACTTGTGAAATATGGGTCACCAGTTTCAAAGACAATCCCCTTAAAAAACAGACACCAGGACAAAGACAGTGGTCATTCATGTTAAAGCCAAGTCTTCTTTCCTTGCTTTGTTCAATACTACATAGCTTATCTGTGGCAAAGGAAAGATCTTTCTTTTAATTTTCTGATTCCCATTATAATAGAATTGTTTACTTGTTGACTTGGGGTCACATTTATACTGGGAGATTAGCTGACAAGGATTTACATTGGTTGATTTAACCTCTCCCCTGCCATGAAGACATAAACCAAAAGGACAAGTTTCGGAACGGTTCTCATTTCCCCTCTTCCCCAGTCTATAACAGAGAGAGGTGCAGCTCTAGTGCTACAACTACCCCCTATCACCAAGGGCTGTAGGAATAGTTTACTTTGCACCTCTATTCAATAAAGACTTGACTCTTCCATTGCCGAGCACCCAGTGGCTTCCACATTTGTTGCTGTCTTTAAAAAGGCTACTGAAGGAACCAGCAGTTAGCGTAATGGCTATGTCGCTGGATTCCCATGTAGTTGACCCTGGGTCACGTCCCGGACCTGGTGGCTTAAAACTCACGCCAGGCGTGTGTGCGTGCGTGCCCAAGATCCCGAGATGAGAAAGGAGAAGGGATTGCGGAATGGCCATCCCCCCTGGGGGGAGATTTCTCACTTTCTGTCTCTCTGTCTCTCTTCTCTGTCTGGCGAGCGCACGCGCCCTATGGCAAAAACCTCTCAAAAAAAAAAAAAAAACTAAAAGGCTACTGAAGGGTTACTCAGGTATCTGTAGAAAACCAACCTATCCTGGTCAAAGTAAACCAATGCAACTGGATGTTTGTAGTCACTACACAGGAAACCACCATGCTAATCTATCTATGAATGGATATAAACACAGCTGCCCAAGTGACAAGAAGCATTCAGTGATAACGTATTGCTTTTGTTTGCCTTTTCCCTGATCTATTTTTCCTGAAGCCCACATTAGTTAAGCTTCTAAATGTTCCAACATAAGATCCAAGTCACAAGTTTTACCTAAGCTTTCTCTCTAGGAAAGAAACAACATTGTTTTGCTGTGCATGTTTGAAAAATATCAATTATATAGCCAAGGCAGGAGTTAGCATGTATATGGAAAGCTACACATAACTCCATGACTACATATGGGGTAACATAAACTATATACCATGTTATAACACCTAGACTTGTTTTCTTTTTTTTTGTAAATTTTATTTATTCATTCACTTATTTTAATTTGACCAGAGAGGGAGAGAAAGTGGGAAAGCAAGCCACCAGGTCCAGGACTTGAACTGTGGTCAGCCATATGGGAGTGTCCAGTGCCTTAACCACCATGCCACCTGCTGGTCCCCCCTAGACTTGTTTTCATAGCAAGACATTTACACAATGTCCATGTTTCAAAGAGATCAAAGAATTTTCTTTCTTTTTTTTTTCTTTTTTTGGAGAGGTTTTTGCTACAGGGCACGTGCGCTCGCCAGACAGACAGAGACAGAGAGATAGAAAGCGAGAAATCACCCCCCAGGGGAAATGGCCGCGCTGCAAACGCTTCTCCTCCATTCTCTTCTCGGGATCTTGGGCACGCACACACACACGCCCAGCATGAATTTAAGCCACCGGGTCCAGGACTCAAACCGCGGTCGACTACGTGGGAGTCCAGCGACATAGCCATTACGCTAACTGCTGGTCCCGAGATCAAAGAATTTTCTATAAAGCTTTCCCTGACTTCTTTACCAAAATTTCAACTTTTCACTTAATTCAGGTAATAGCATATGCAAACTCCATTTATTTTTTAATTTTACAAATGAAAATAATAAAGACAAGTCCATGTCAAAATGTTTTAAAGATGAAGGAAAGAGGGAGGCTAAAGTAGTAGGATGACTTGATTTTCCATGAAGAAATAAACCAGCTCAAGGTCATTTAACAAATTAGCACAGGGACCAGCAGATGGTGCAATTGTTACACCGCTCAACTCCCACGTAGTCGACCACGGTTTGAGTCCTGGACCCAGTGACTTAAAACACACTGAAAACACACTGGGGGCGTATGTGTGTGTGTGTGTCGTAGATCCTGAAAGGAGAATGAAGGAGAAGGAATTGTGGCATGGTCATTCCCCTGGGTAATGATTTCTTGCCTTCTGTCTCTCTGGCAAGCACATGCACCCTATAGCCAAAAAAAAAAAAAAATTAGCACAAACACTAACTTCAACTTGGTGTCACAGATTCTCAACCCATAGATTTCGCTTCGGTGAATGTGTATATGAGCTATTATGACCACTGGCTTGTTTTGACATAAGCAAGACTGAGAAGAAAGGATGCACTAAGCAGGATCTCATCCAGTTTACAGTCCTGCTATCTACTCTTCAAGGTGGGGGAGAAAAATCTTCTGAAGGAACAAATTCGAAAGACTAAATAAACCAGTTAATCCTTTTGTTCTGTTCTCTATCAGAACAAGTTTGAACTAGCTACTCTTGGACATGGATACTGGGAGAATGCAGAGATTTATCCGTTTCTATGTTTGTTCTTTTACACCTGATAAAATTACAATAAATACAAAACATGTTTTAATGTAATGCTTTGCTAACAGTGGTGATGTGTCATGGATATATGATACAGTAAATATTGTGACGACTTGCAGTGAGCTTCTTAACCATTTGTACAAATTTATTTGCCATAAAATGCTGTATACTAAATAGGAAACATGAAAACTGAGAATGTATAAACATTCTTTAAGTATATAAATAGTGAAAAATTTGTATCTTGGATAAGCAATAATTGAAGAAATTTAAATTTAATTTCTCTTTGTACACAGTTGATACCATAAATCAGCTCTGGTCAGAAAACTTCCCTCTGCTCAGAATCTGTTTAACAGATATCTGAGTCAGCCATGCCTCTCAAGAGACCATGTTCTCAGATGGTCAACATGCAGGCAGTATCAATCACTGGTGGAAAAAATGATTACTGGACACATGACCACCAAGCAAATGCCTATTCTACAAGTTTTCATCTACATGTTTGTACTGTGTGTATTATATTAATATCGTCCATTTCTGAAATCAGTTACAGATACTCAACACTGTAAAGGATGTAGTTTAAGTCAGATTTTCAACCTCTATGCCTATAATGAGAATGGTTTATGAGTGTGACCTTTAATACACAACACTTTCATGTTAGAAGCTCTCAACTGGGGACAGTTTTGCCCCCGGGACATTTGGCAATGTCTGTGACATTTATGATGGCCACGACTGGGATGGGGGTGGTGTGCTATTAGCATCTAATGCACAAACGTTAGGGATGATTCTAAATATCTCACACTGAATGGGACAGTCTCCCACAACAGAGGATTTCTGACCCAAAATGTCTATAGTGCCAAGGTTGAGGAACTCTGCTAAGTGAATGAAAATTAACAAGGCAACGGTATTTAAGATTCTAATGCTTCGGGTATATGACCTCCAGTCCTTCTAGCTCCTTCACCCTGTGTGTCCCACTATGCCATTTTTAAAAAAGAATTATTTTATTTAACTTTATTCATTTATTTTTAATTTGACCAGAGAGGAACAGAGCGAGAGAGAGAGGGAGGGAGGGAAAGTGAGAGAGTCAGCCGCCAGATCCAGAACTTGAAGTATGGGAGTCCAGCACCCTTAACCTCTATTGTACCTGCCAGCCCTTATGCCTGATTTTGACCACATGAGATCTCCAGTCTTAACTTTGCTCCCAGCCTACCATTCCTGTCCTGGAATTCTACTAAAATACATACATATTTCTTATATGATTAAAATAAAAGAGGAGGACAACTGAAGATCTGCCCAGACTTCACCCTCCTGCCCCCTAGATCCAGCCAGGACAAGCCAATCACTGACAATCTGAGTGGCCACTCTCGGGGATTAGGACAACTGAAGATCTTCTGCCACTTTACTCTCCTGCCCCCCAGATCTAGCCAGGTTAGATCACCCTCATTATTCTGTCTCTGTCCCTCTATTTTTGATTTAAATTTTTTTTCTAAACTTCTTAGTTCTCTGACACTCTTTTATCTTGCTAATTCTTACCCTGCTACCCACATAGGACAAAACAATCACCAAACATCTATATCTGAGATCTGAGCAACCCCTTTCATTTTCATTTTTTGCTTTGAATTTTTCCCTCTCTTTTATTTTTTATTATTTTTGTCTTTCTTTTTCTCTCTCTCTATTTTTAAATTTGTTTTCTTTTCCTTTTCTATTTCTCACTTTTCTGTTCAGCCTCCACACCCTGAGTTTCTAGACAGGTCTAGGTACACAGTAGCCAAATATCTGAATACTTTTAGGATCAGATTAATCCTCAATTTCCATGGAATCTGCTGCACAAAGGGAGAAAAATGGTACTGCTTAGAGACTGCAGATCACTTTCTCCTGCATGTTTCTGAATGCTAAGATTTAACTCCAAAAACTAGGAAAAAACATATAATCCATCAGAGATGTACAGAAACCACCACAGAGGCACAAGAAATAGGAGAAACCGAGAAAATCTTTCCCCTAAGGGAAAAACGTAACTCCTCAGGCTCCACAGACAATACAATGGAACTCGTGGAAACATCAGGTAAAGAATTTAAAATATTCATAGTGATGAAGCTATCAGAGATGCAAGAGAAGAAAGACAATGAACTCCAGAAGATGCAGGAGAAAAGAGACAATGAGTTCCAGGTGAGGAAGTTCTTGCATGATCTGAAAGAGGAAATACACTCCCTAAAAAAAAAAAATCAAATGGGGTGGGACCAGCAGTTAGTGTAATGGCTATGTCGCTGGACTCCCATATAGTCGACTGTGGTTCGAGTCCCGGACCTGGTGGCTTAAAACTCACACCAGGCGCGTGTGCATGTGTGCCCAAGACCCTGAGAGGAGAATGGAGGAGAAGGGATTGTGGCATGGCCATCCCCCCAGGGGGTGATTTCTCGCTTTCTGTCTGGCAAGCACACACGCCCTATAGCAAAAACCTCTCCCCCCCCAAAAAAAAAAAATCAAATGGGGGACCAGCAGTTGGCGTAATGGCTATGTTGTTGGATTCCCATGTAGTTGACCATGGTTCGAGTTCCAGACCCGGTGGCTTAAACTCACTCTGGGTGCTTGTGCATGAGTGCCCAAGATTCCGAGAGGATAATGGAGAAGGGACTGCAGCATGGCCATCCCTCCTGGGGGGGTGATTTCTCACTTTCTGTCTCTCTGTCTCTCTCTGTCTTTCTGGTGAGTGCATGCACCCTGTAGCAAAAACTTCTCCAAAATAAAAAAAAGAATCAAATGTAATTGTTAGAGATGAAGGCTGTAATATAGGAAATCAAAACCTCCCTTGAAAGTATTAAAAGCAGATGAGATCATGCAGAAGATTGAATCTCAGATGTAGAAGACAGAACCTCTGACCTAGAAACATTCATCAAAAAGACTGAGAAAGTAACCCCCCAAGATGAGCATAATACAATAGTTTTCAATGAAAACTGCTCTCTTGGTATCGACAGAGTAAGGCTTTGCGAAGATTCATTAATTTAAACCACATTTGTGACTTTACTGAGTGATTTACTCATAAAGATATAATAAAATGAAACTATCCATAGCTTCTCTAGTTGAGGCTCTTCTCTAGCACACGAACATCCTTATGTGACTGTTTCACTAATACTTTATATCAGGAATGATGACAGGGACTGGCCATGAGCACCTTGGGCAGGCAGAGAACTTACCCCAACATCGTCATCACTCTGTATCAATTGTGAGTGTCCAAAGAGGCGCCTCTTCAGTATTGGCTCAACCAGAGTAAGATACACCATGTACAGAAGGAGAAGGCCCAAAATGGAGAGATAAATTATAATGGTAACCTAAAGGAAATTATAAATTAGTTCATTTCTAAGCCAGTAATAATCAGAATTATATATAATAAAGCCATAGTGAAGACTGATGAATATGTTAAGCATATAAAATAGATTATAACATAAGAAACAAATTCAACTCAGCTCTTCACCAAAGTATCATTTAAAGATAAAAAGAGGGACCAGCAGTTAGCAGTAATGGCTATGTCGCTGGACTCCCACATAGTCGACCGCGGTTCGAGTCCTGGACCCGGTGGCTTAAACCCACGCCGGGCGCATGTGTGTGCGTGCCCAAGATCCCGAGAGGAGAATGGAGGAGAAGGGATTGCGGTGTGGCCATCCCCTCTGGGGGGGGGGTGATTTCTCGTTTTCTGTCTCTCTGTCTCTGTCTGTCTGGAGAGTGCACGTGCCCTATAGCAAAAACCTCTCCAAAAAAAAAAAGAGAAAAAGAGAAAGGAAAGTATTGTGCCTTTAAGATCTTTTCGTATGTCTTTAAAACTCCAACTTCACATATTGCTAATCAACCGTCACCTATTGCTGCTAGCACAGCAGCTTTCTTTTTTTAGCCAAGCACAATGGCCTATAATATTAAGTCGTCGGGAAAGTCATGACATATTTTTCTGTTTTTCTATGCAAACATGCATCATGTGGGCATCTGCAAAGCTGCTGCCATGCTGTGGAATCCCTGACCTTTTTGACTTACTACCTTAAGAATGTACTGCATGCCTCTTTGCTTCTGCTCTGTCATGCTATTCGACTCACAAGGAAGAAATAACAGATGAGTCCATTAGCGGGCAAATCTCTTCTAATCACAAGGTTACATTACTGAAGAAAAGGTTTGAAAGGTATCCCAAAACTTGTGAAACTGAGTTCAGTGTTCTACTGAGTTAGCGGAGTCGTCTCCAAACTTTTTATGAGATTCATTCTATAATTAAAAATTCTATATGAGCTTTTGTTGTGTAATTTATCAATCTCTTAAAGAGAATTTGGCTTTATTATCATCAGTACTTGATCAAACTTCTTCTGTATTTGTTCTCGGAATAATGGGCAAAGGGAAAGACTGTTAAGTAATGAATCAGACTTTGCAGACAATTAGATAGTGTTCGATTTTTGAAAGTCTTCCTCTGTTCAGTTGATGGGTACCTATCCTTGGGAAACTATTAATAAGTGCTCATACCACACAGTAAGAATTTCTATAAATCTTAGGAAGAAAAGCTTGAAGAGCTTCTGAATATAGAGAAGTTCAGTTACGGAAGAGGTCCCCCCGTAGATATATAAAAATATTACAAATTCTAAACTGAGACACAATGTTCCAATGTAGTTCACTAATCCGAAAATAATCTGTCCACAAATATAAAAACTATAAATAATAAATTGTTATTTTCCCACTGTGAGAATCTCTAATGTGAAAATGTACTCTGAAAAAGAAAATTTCTGAAAAAATGAAATACTGTAAAATAAATAAATAAATGAATAATAAATAAATGACTACTCCAGATTCCTCACAAGGTCTTTTTTTAGAGAAATGGAATGGAAAGTATCATACAATATTGGGGAGGGGTCAGCAGGTGGCGTGGTGGTTAAGGTGCTGAACTCCAATACTACCAACTGCGTGAGATTCGAGTCCCAGACCTGGCAGCTTGCTTTTTCACTTTCTCTCTTTCTCCCTGATGAGTGCAGGTACCCTGTAGCAAATTTAAAAATAATAATAATGATAAAGTTAAATAAATAATTCTTTAAAAACATTTGGGAGGGGACCAGCAGTTAGCGTAATGGCTATGTCGCTGGACTCCCACATAGTCGACTGCAGTTCATGTCCCAGACCCAGTGGCTTAAAACTCAGGCCGGGCGCGTGTGCGTGCGTGCCCAAGATCCCGAGAGGAGAATGGAGGAGAAGGGATTGCAGCGTGGCCATCCCCCCCGGGGGGTGATTTCTCGCTTTCTGTCTCTCTGTCTCTCTCTCTCTGTCTGGCGAGCGCAAGTGCCCTATAGCGAAAACCTCTCCAGAAAAAAAAAATTTGGGAGAAGAACCATTTTCACAATAAAGTAATTAAGCTTATTAGAGATCCAAATGATAGTGAGAGTTATCTATATTCCATCTCTACAGAAATGAAATGGGAAAATATTAAAATATAGAAGTGATGTTTCTAGACTAGTTACCATATCTATAATTTTCTCAAAGGGTTGAGAGGGCAGGGAGGGAAGTGCTTAATCATGCTGTTCTCTCACAAGCTTTTGGCCTACAGAAAAGCTCGAATGTCTTTCTGGAATATGCTAACTACATATAGGGCCTTGTGCCATCTCACGAATCTATCTAATGTGTCTAATGAATCCACAATCATTTCAATAAGGCAGGCAGAGAGCAAGTCCATTGTTCTTTTTGGGGTGGAGGTACCAACGTTTTTGTATTGTCTAGAGACCATCCAGAAACAAAAGCAAAAGTTTATATCTATACACACATACATACAGTCATTAGAAAAGTCATAAAGCATTTTTTTTTTCCTTACCTTAATTGTAACAGAGCTTCTTTCCTCATATTTGCACTCACAGCGTAGACAGTATGCTTCTACGTCAGGCCCCCGCACAGGCATGGGGTCCACGACATGAAGGCAATCACTGAAAAAAACAAACAAATGTTGCTAAAGACTGGCTGTATTTTCTACTTAGTGCTGATGAAAACTTTCTTGAAATCCAGAATAATCACTGAACTTACCTAATTAAAGAATATAAGAAAAAATAATAGAAGGCAAAGTAAAAGGATTCCCTCTCCTGATGTTAGCATTTTGGTAGAATTTAGTAGTTTGAGAAGCAAAAAAAATAAACAAAGTAGCTGTCTATTTTCAAAGCTGCTGGTAGTAACAGTTACAAACGCACTTGAAAAATCCCAAATAGGACTGACAACTACTTAACAAATCAATTCATATTTAGACTTGTTCAGTTACCAAGCAAAACTACTCTAGAGCCAAGTGGTGGTGCAGTGGTAACACAACTGATTTCTTGTGGGCAAGGTCCTGTGTTCATGTCTCAGGAGTTCCCTGAGCACTCGGGGCAGTGTGTGTGGCCCTGACCTAGGCTGCTGAGACTGGGGAAGGTCACAGGGCTTGTTGGGGGTGCATCTTTCTCACTGGATTTCTCTCTCCTCATCTCATGACAGAAATAAATAAATAAACTTTTAAAAACTCTACTTTAGATGGTTTAAAGTGGCACGGGGCATTGTCCAAATATGAGATTCTCTTTTGTGAACTAACTGTCACTCATAATTGCCACAACGTGATACGTGAATGGCTCATCACATTTTGATGGTAAATTTTGAAACTGAAAACTGAACACTTGAAGTCATAGTAAAGAAAATTACATTTCTTAACAAGCAAAAACCTATTTAAAAAATGGAATAAGTACAACACAAACATTTTAAAGTGAAAATTGATTATCCCAAAGTATATAAAACTAGTAAAGGGAAGAATGTTTGGTTATTTAATGTTATTTGTTTATCCCGCTGCTCCTGTTTTCCAGGTTAATTATTTACGGCTTAGAAAAAAACAATGCTATAAAAATTTTTTTCCAAGAAATCTGTCAATTTCAAGAAATAATTAAATTATTATTGTCCTCAGCTATTAAGAGCCCACCACCTTGATCCCCTCCAGCAGAAGCAGGCAAAGCCCTGTCCTGCCAGCTGCTCAGCGACCACCTCCCCCGCAGCATCTTTCTCTCAGGCCTATCTGGCTGCCTGAAGAACACTACTTTGGCATTCTGTATCATTCCACCCAATACTTCGGGCTGATTCCTTCTTGTTGCCCTATCAAAATGCACTTTTTCGAGTTCTATTGCCTCTTAACTGTGGCATTAGAAAGAAAACCCGAAATGGCACAAATCATAGAAGTTCAGTGAGTTGCCCTTAACAAAGGTAATTTAATTTCAACAAAGGTAGCAATACATAATTAAATCTCCATTGGTAGAATTTCAAATAAGAGTAAAGCTTCATGACTCACACCATAGACGTGTATGCTATCTGTTCCAAACATAGTGAAGACCACCCATGTACCCAGCTGGATGCAGGCAGAAATGGACAGAGGAAGATAAATCTCACAAAAAGGGCTCTTTACCTCAGAATAGCCCAACATTCAAGAGGGGTCACCCGCACAAGGCCACAGATTAAATTAGCAGTTGAAAAAGGACCAAAATCCAGGTCTTCTACACCCTAAGTCAGCCCCCCCTTATTGCTCTGAACCACAAGAGAATGAACACTTATCTCCTGTTCAGTTTCCTATTTCGGCTTTGGGAGATTCAATAACATTACTTAAGAATTACTTGGGAACCTAAGTGCTGAGTAAATGTTGAGTATGACTTCTGAAGGACATTTATATTTTAGTAACAAACGATATTGAGTGCTGTGCAAAACTTGTGTAAGGCTGGAGAGGAAGCAGGAAGGTTCTGGCTGGTCAATCAATACAAACAGAGCCAGATCTAGACGGAACTCAGCTACTTTAGGAGCTAGGCAATACTGCCCCCTAGTGCCAAAAGGAAGACATTACCAGCTTTAAAACACCCCCAAACACAAACCAGGGTATTCTTACTCTTAAGTTTTAAGTCAGGCAGCATAAGTCAATTAAAAATTAGAATTAACAAGAGAGGCCTAAAAAACATATGGTAAGGGATTAGCAGTTAGCATAATGGCTATGTCACTGGACTCTCATGTAGTCGACCGCGGTTCGAGTCCCGGACCCAGCGGCCTAAACTCATGCCGGGTGGGTGTGCATGCGTGCATGCCCAAGATCCCAAGAGGAAAATGGAGGAGAAGGGACT